TCATCTAAATATACCATAGCGTGAATTTCCGGTAATTCGAGAAACTTTTTGTAGCCGAAATCATCGCAGTTTCAGAGCATTACATTCTCCTTGATTCACAATATCCTCTAAACAAAGTCGATTTTCACCATGCGATAAAGCTCAAAATCAAACAAGGTTTTGTCAGTTGTTTCTGCAAAGAAAGAGCAAGTTTAAAATCAGTCGAAACTCTATAAAACGGCCAAAACAGCTCTCGCTTCATAGAAATTCTGGGAATGCGATCGTAAAATATCAGCTATACCGAAGCTGAACTTTGTATAAAAGATTTGAACACTTCATGTTAATCGCGTCTCTAACATTCCCCTCTAGGGTGGGGATGGTATATTTTAGACCGGCCAAAGTTCTTTCGATCAAATTTGGCATTGATGTTATTTAACATTAATAAAACTGCCTTTATTTCAGTACACAGGGATATCACTTGTAATTATGATTACTTTGATGACAGTCACCCTATTTCCCTTTACGGCGAATGTTTCAGTGAAATTTGAGAAACAATGCTGCGTGTTAGTTTACTTTCATTCTTACTATAAACATGGAGACTTGTTCGGTTGTTCATTTAAATCTACTGAGTCTATAATCGATAGCTGCTGTAGGGTTGATGCCAAAGATTGAAAGCGTCAGACGCAAATTGTCTCGTTATTGTTGTGTACAAAAGATATAAAGCACTTGTCGTCACTGAGTTTTTCGGACCTTAACAATTCAATCCTGACCGGCCTTATCATCGCGCATCGCTTGGAATAAGCTGGATCAGAGGTGGAGCTACAAAATGCCGCGTTCCGCCGATCAGGTAAAATCAGGACATGAAAGCATGGCAGGTCTGACTGAACAAGAATCAGATATAATATTACTTGACTGGTGTGTTTTTCCCTCCAGGTTCATTTGCTAAAATATGTGCATCTATGTTGTTTTAAAAATTGTAAGAAATGTCGATATCTCTTGAACGAAAAAGATAAGGATTCAGTGTGACACATGCAAAAGCTTACGTGGTATGATCGTATTTAATATTGCATTTTATTTCCAGGTAACTCAATGAAGTCATTTTAAACTTGTCAAGAGCTTAACCGTTGACATGGCTTCTCAATTGACAATTAACGTGGAATCGATAGATGAAACATTCGAAACTAATACTRCCGTTTTTTACTCAATCTGTGCTTTGGGAACTACATACATGCCTCTATTTAAGGTAAGAAGTGCCATTTGAAGTCCAATTCGTTTTTGGAAAAGCGAAATAATCTGAATGTTTGACAGAGTTCTCCGCCTAGTGTGTTTGTTTATGTTTTGTATTTGACCTCAAAAGGTCAAAATTGGTCCATTTCAATGAGCTGTCGCGTGTCACGTATTTATTTGCCAAGTGTAATATTTATATCATTGGAAAGCTCTTTCTTTGCAGAAACAACTGACAAAACCTTGTTTGATTTTGAGCTTTATCGCATGGTGAAAATCGACTTTGTTTAGAGGATATTGTGAATTGAGGAGAATGTAATGCTCTGAAACTGCGATGATTTCGGCTACAAAAAGTTTCTCGAATTACCGGAAATTCACGCTATGGTATATTTAGATGATGGAGAAAAGAATTTGCGGGTTTTAAAAATCATACAAATCGTTTTGCCAATGTTTTCAGCCGGCAATGTTTGTGTACATTTTGGCCCATGAAATGACGGTTTTTGGGTGCCTCTCTTAAAACGGCATTTTCTCGAAAACCAAAATATATTTTACTTCAAAAACTATTCAGTGCATTCTAGGATACAATAAAGTATATTTGGACAAAATTTGAGCAAAATCGATTTTTCAGTCGTGGCCGCTCTATGTTCGATATTTATGGACATGATCTCTTAGAATGTAAAGATATGAATGTGAGGACCGCATTGCACTATGAGCCAAAACATGATATAGAAATGAAGGAAAGTTATAGTACTTACAAGGAGGTTATTCCGGGAGAAAGACGCTTGGAAATAAATTTGGAAAAATTTATTTCCAACCTTACTGGGATTCTCTGGGTCCTCTTATTCATACCTCCTCTCAATAGTGTTATAATAGGTCCTTTGCAGCTGGGGGTCAACTGACCACACCTACCTTAAATCAATCAGCAATGAAACAATGATGTTCAGAAATGTAAAGAGGGGATAAAAATAAGTGAAAAGCAGGAGCCCATTACTAGGAGCATTCCTCTTCCCTTGGGCTTGTGGAACGGCATTTACCCCTCTTGATGCTATTTTTAGAAGTTTCCCGTCTTTCCCCGCGCGCTTATTGAGATGCCAAGTTGTGAAGAGACGCCGGCTACGCCGGCAGCCGTCAGGTGTTTTTCGATTGAATTTTATATGTGTACAAGTGAAGAAATTTTCGCTTTTACAAAAACTATTTTGTAACAAAGGTTCAATGGCACCATTAACTATTATATTCAAATGTCTTAAGATAGTGAAAAGGTATAAATAAGCGAAAAAGATCATAAGCTTACATGAAAGAATCGCCATTTCTGGTTTCTTTTTTACCGACGAATCTGATAAAAAAGCATGACTGTGAACACAAAATAATCTATTCTTATAATGAGTCCATTGGCATGTAAAAATTTGCAATCAACTAATCTAAGCTTACTTGCTTTAGTTTGCTCAAGTTTGCTCAAGTTGAAAATTTTCCGCTTTTGGACAATCTGAACCTTCGTTCCTCGTCTTCAACAGCCATTTGATTTCAAATTCTGGTTATCAGGTAAAGATCCAGAGTGTGATTTGAGTCTATTTGTTTTGCTTTTGCTGTCCAATGAATTTTGTTGGTCTTCGGCTGCTCAATGAAAAGTTCATAATCCGTGTTGGTTGTTTTTTCTMAAGATTTTCCCCTGTATTCCCAAGATTAATTACACCTGTTTTCTATCACTGGCCTCCTCATCGGCTAAATATGAAGCGAAAGGTGATTCTGCTTTCCTTTTGGGACATATTTCTACTAAAAGTTAACTTTAAACATCCTGAAAATGAATTTTGAATAGTCTAGTACTAAGATCTAATTCCTCCTCGGAACTGCCGGCGGTCGAACGGCGGCCGGGCCGTCGATCATTCAGAAACCTATTGTTCAAGTCGCTTTCCGATTAACTGTTTTGCGCTGAATTTATAATGAGCAGTTCTAAAAATAGCACCAAGAGGGGTAAATGCCGTTCCAAGAGCTTATGAAGAAGAGGAAGGCTCCCAGTAATGGGCTCCTGGTGAAAAGACATCAAGTATCCGACACTAAATATTTCAAAAGTGGTAGCAAATCTAAAGAAACATGCCAAAACAGAACTGGAGAGGGCAAGGCTTGCGCATTCTCTCCAGTTCTATTTTCCCACACGTTTCTTCAGAAAATTCAATATTTTATCAATATTTTATATTTGTTGTCATTTTTGAAGTATTTCGGTTTGTCATTTTACCAACCTAAACTTACTCATCATTTTTTGATAGCTGATTGATTTAAGGTAGTGTGGTCACGTGATCCCCAGCTATTAATTTATTAAATATTTATTATTTATTATTAATTATTAAGAATTTATCTTTGTTGCAGTAATAATTATGCTGCGGATTACGTTGAAGTTTCTGATGCAAATTACGAGTTTAAAATAAAAAAATGTCGTGGAATGCGCCCATTTGAAGTTTTGATCAAGGATCGTCCAGCAGTAATCAGATACCACTCTGATAAAGGCTACTGGTACAGGTTTTCTGGAGTTAGTGTCACCTTCTACATCATCACTCAGAAATTGTCAGGTCAGAACTCTTATAATTGCCCTGCGGGTGCTTTATAGTTCTTTATATTCTGATAGAACTAACTGACCGGACACTTGACCGGTCTTTTAAGATCTTTTTTTCCCTTCCTTTCTTGCTTGCTTCCTCGCTTCCTTACTCCCTTGCTTCCTCCGTCCGTCCGTCCCTCTTGCTTCCTTGATTCCTATCTTCCTATCTTCCTATCTTCCTATCTTCCTTCCTTCCTTCTCTCTTTCCTCGCTCCCTCCCTTCCTCTCTGACTTCCTTCCTTCATTCTGGCTAATTAGATGTGTCTTAATTTTTTGAAGTCTTTTTTCAACAAAAAACAGACTATATGTAGTATACACTTGCAAATCCATCCTTATTTGATGCTGCATTAAGTAAGCATGAGTTTTTAATTTTTATATTTTTATTTCATTTGCAATACTGTTTTTTTTTTATCGAAGATTCAACTGTAAATAGATGGGATCCAGCTATTAAACAATCCAAACCTGGTGAAGTTACCATTGATTGGGATCACTCGACGCTGCCATCAAAGAACTATACTGTTGTGCCGTTTTATAACTATACAACGAAAGGGGAGCCATTTCTGTACATCATTGAACATAGAAAGGAAACGTCAATGGTAACGCAACACCTCAATCCAGGTTCTTCGTATTCCTTTAAAGTCATTGCTTTTAATTCTGTGAACATGAGAGCCGCCTTAGTCGTAAGCAGTACAACAACTGTCTTAATGAGGAATGGTACGTAATGATGTTTATCAAGTTTCAGTGTAAATTAAGGAAATTGCTAGAAGATATTGGATGGGCGGCCGGAGATATGGATTTTTCTCTTCGATGTGTTTAAGAGAGATTTTCAAAAAAAAAGATAAAATTCGTATCTCCAAGCGACCTTCTAATATTCTGTTTATCTTATTATTACACATGTAATACCATGATCACCTCGGATTCTTTTGTCTTCCGAGGGATGTTTACAAGCGAACATCCCTCCCTCATGAATAGCATGAGGGACGATTACTAGTAATCGTCCCTCATGAATAATAACATGAGGGACGATTAGACTAATCGTCCCTCATGTTATTCATGAGGAACGGAAGGCAAGGGAAACCTTTGCTTCCCAGCAGGGACAACTGAATGTCCCTACAGCTGTCTTCTTTTTACCTCTGCGATGATGAACGGTCTGGCTATCGTCTCATTCACACTGAAATGTGGGATGATTTTTTGGCCAAATTGACCGAGTAGGTCTGGTTCCGAGTCATTACTTCGTACCGCTAAGCATGTGCACTTGATGAATTTCAATGTTTGATAATAGTTGATAAGCTTCTTKGCATTATACTTGCAAATATAAAAACAACTTTTCGGGGTTGAAGTTAAGTTTAGTTAACTTCAGCATTGAATAGAACTGAAAAGCAATTGTTTAAAAGTTCGTTGTGGGAAATCAGTAACAATGGTAGAAATACCAATATCATTTTGTACTGTTGTTCTGTGAAAACCTTTTCAATGACACAATAAAGTACTTGATACTCTTAGAACAGTGCGTGTCCAATCTTTTCATGTCAAATTCCAATTCATGCATGAATGGTTGCAATGTTTATATTATTTCTGATTGAAAACATGGGAACATGCAAAAAAACAAGAATTCAATTCTCTCAATTTAAACTTTCAAGTTCAATTTTTCTCAGCCTCGGCTTCGGGGACATTTAATCCCTAATCTCCCGAGGAGACGTGCTATTAATTATAAAAAGCAAATGTTGTAAAATACTTTTTTTTACTTACTTTCACGTATAGAGAAACCTCGAAATTATGTGTTATTTTCACTAGGGAAAATAACAACAACTTTACGAATTGGAGAAATATAGGTATTTCACAGACAATTATATGATAAAGAAAGAACTACTACGTCTCAGGACAATACCGAAACAATTACACAGCGTATGAACAATAATAATAATGATAAAATA